GATGACTGTCTTCCCGCATCCGAAAGCCCCAGGCACTGCCACGGTACCTCCCTGCACTGAGGGGAAAATCGCGTCCACCACGCGCAAACCAGTTGTCAACGCAGAGTTACCGGGCAGCTTGGCCACGACGGGGCGGGGCCTACGCACAGGCCAGAAGTGCGAGAGTTTCAGCTTGTGCACTTGCTTTGTTGTCTCATTCTCGACCTCCAGCACCGTGTCTTCCACCGAGAAAGAGTCCTTCTTGTCGGCCGCTGCGCCATACACTTTCTTCACCTTACCGTAAATATTGGGGGGTACCATGATCTTGTGCGACGTCATGATCTCATTCTCCCATACCGTTCCAAAAATGTCGCCGCCTGAAAGAGCCATGCCCTCGCGCAAGCCTGCCACAGGCGTGTATTGCCAGTGCTTGGAGGGGTCCAGGGAAGGAATATCGGCCCCACGAGGAATATATACGTTCTGGTCCCTTTTGAAAATGTCTTCCAAGGGTCGCTGAATCCCATCGAAAATGGTTCCCATGATGCCGGGCCCGAGCTCGAGAGATAAAGGCTGGCGCTTGCGAAGGACCGGGTCACCCACTGTCAGCCCTGCCGTGTCCTCGTACACCTGAATGGAAGCCGTGTTGCCCTCCAATTTAATAATTTCTCCCACCAGCTTCTGGTGACCTACACGGACCAGCTCATACATTGCAGCACCTTGCATGTTGTCCGCGATGACCAGAGGCCCGGAGACCCGATGGATGAAGCCATAATCTGATTCCACGACGCCATCATCTACGACAACGCCCGCCATTTTTGCTTGAGTATCACGCGTCTAAATTTATGCGACAATAGATCGTACAATAAGGTAAGACTGAGGATGTTCACAGGTGGCATGCTATCATTAGCTGGCATGACGAGAAGGCTCTCCAAGCCAGAAGACATCAATCGCAGGCAGTACGCAATGACACAGTGACACAACATAGGAACAAAGCATAGTCAAGATCCGGACCAGGAATGAATGGCTAGAATATTGCTTGAAGAAGCCATGAACAAATCGCGGTAGAGGGTCGGGAAGTTTAAAAAAGGTTAGGGTGCGGGAAGGCAAAGATTCTCAGAGTCGACGGGAGCAGGGGCGCGAGAGGAGCGAGTGGGGAAGAGGAAGGGGGCAGCGAGGAGCGAGGCAGCGATAAGACGGGAGAGATGGAAAGCAGGGAGGCAGCCTGCAGGCGAGAGCGAGGCAGCGAGGCAGCGAGGCAGCGGAGGCGGGTGGAGGACGGAGAATGAGGGGCAAACTAGCAAAGTCAGGCGAGGCAGGGAGCGAAGAGCGAGGCCTCCGGCCATGACAATCGACTTTTTCGTTAGGAACGCTGACATTCCTCCGGTCCGGGCCTGTTGTGCTCGACAAACTCACATGTCTCATTTCATCTACCAGTGCAGATACAAAATCCGTGCGCGAAAGCCTGGCAACATGAACAGCAAAGCTCGGGATCTTCCTTCTTCGCGCCCTGTCTCTGCTTTCTCCAACGGCTGAGCCGCGTTAACGGCTTTCAGCGTAGACTAAATTGCGACCAGGCAACCAGGTTCGCAGAAGAATTTTTGCAGAAGAGAGTTTGACTTAATCGAGCAAGCGTGAAAAAGCCTAGACGCCAGGACGAGCGATGCAAAAAATATGCCGTCGAACGCTTTTTTTAAAACCTGGTTTTCGAAGTAAGCCGTGGAGTTGTTGCGACTTAGGCGGCGCTGAAGGATCCCTAGTTTGTAGGCGGCGGATGACTAAAGTATAGCATTAGCGGCCCGCCAAAAAGCGCGGGACGTTTTGGCTGATTCTAGTTTATTTCGTGTGTTCTTTTGATTTCTATCCTCTTATTTTGTCTCTCAGCTTACCAATTGGCTCATGCATCCTTCGAAATACACACGAATTGGCACGCAAGCAATGATTCATTACGTAAATGTCTTACGAGCGCTACTGTCGCCCAAAACGTAGAGAGAGGAAAGGTTTTTATGTTCGTATGTCACGGTGGAGCCTTCGAAGATATATGTAAACGAATGCATTGTCGTCACATGCCGGACGACTTTTTCATAGTGACAAACGGCACTGCTGCTGCGCTTCCTTGACTCTCCCCGAACGACCTGAGCGCAAAGTGGCAATGTCGCTAAGAACTTTAAAGTCGGAGCCCTTATGCTTGTTTCCATCCAATTTTCGGTCATGACAAAACTCATCTCACGGCGTTCAATTTAATAGAGGAAAAGAAGAAAAATCCAACCCGTGAGGAACAACCTAGTGGGACAGAAGCAGCAGGGATCACTTGTGTCTGTAATAAGGATCATATGAACACCTGGACTGAAAATTAAAAAAGGCGGGAATGCTCCCGATGTTTGTCAGTACTCCTTCCACTATCTCATGTTTACTTGACATACTGTAGACGCAGGCAACAATGACGAGCGAGGATGCAGCCACCTCGACGGTTGCTCTGAGGGCTGCCACAACGAGCGAAGAAGACGCTAATAGGCTAAGTAGAAGTCTTACCTCTCTAAAAACGACTTCAGAGACTGTGAAAAATAGTGAGCAAGTTGAATCCACTGCGAAGGAGAGCAGTCGGGAGCATCAAACACAACAGTCGCTTGCGAAGTGCCAGCAGGAGAATGAGCAGGAAAACACTATTTCTAATCGAGTTCACGAAGATGAGACCTTGCAAGAGGAAGAGGGGACTTGGCGGAAGGAGCCGGAGAATGAGCCCAAGGATGATTGTATCCTCTTCATCGGGGATTTGGCGCGTGGCCTGACCGAAAGAGAGGTAGCACAAGCATTCGCGGCCGTGGGCAACGTCGAAATGGTTGATATTAAGCGGGACAAGGTTACGATGCGTAATCTGGGCTATGGCTTTGTTCAAATGAGCTCTCATGAACAAGCTGCAGTCGCAAAAGAACGCATGCAAGGTGCAGATATTCAAGGACGACGCATTCGGATTGGCTGGGCGCAACGCAACACAACGCTATTTATTGGAGACTTGGACGAGAGTACAAATGTAGAGGATCTTCATCGTACATTTGGCCCTTTTGGTCTCTTATACACAAATGACAGCTACCTGCGGCAGGGAAAATGTGGAAAATATGGTTCTGTCAAGTTCATGTCCCGAAAAGATGCAGAAACTGCACGCCGAGAGATGCATGGTCGAGTGTTAAGAGATGGGACTCGTCCGATCCGAGTGGTCTGGCACCATCCACAGACGATCACAAAAAAAACTGGTCTCTCTGTACCCCTTCCTTCTAACGAGCAGCATTCACGCGAGCTGGTGCACATTCCACCCCCACCACCAGCCGGCGTCCTGGTTTCTAGCCGCCCTTATTCAGTGCACGTCCATTTTGAGGCCGACGGGATGGAAAATCTTGTCACAGAAAATCTTATTTACGGCTTGTTTGCACCCTTTGGACAAATAATTGCTGTAATTCTTCCTCAGGGCCCAGGAATCCTGTGTTCTGATCAAAATGAAGATGTTAGTTGCTGCCGGCGTGGCTACGGCTTTGTACATTTTACGGGCTCCGCCTTGGGGCGGCTTTGTGCAATCGAGGCAATTCGCACTCTGCAAGGCGAAATTGTTGCTGGAATTCGTCTGCAATGCGCATTTAGCAGGAAGCCCGGTGGACCCGTGCGTGCTTCTTACGGTTTGACCGAAAGCCGCGGCACTGCGACGATGCCTTTGAAGCGTGGGCATTATTCTTTTTCTAAGACGAACATGGAGCATAAACTAGACATTTCTCGCCTCTCGTATGATCTCCAGGCCCACGCCGAGGAACGGCCACAGGTCATCGTATTGTCTAATTTAACGTCCTGTAGTGGCAGGTCTATAAATGTTGTAAAGCATGCTGACAATCATATGGTAAGCGGAGACGTTCAGCAATGGAACCATGCACCAAAAAATTCTAGCGACGAATATATGCCGCCTTTTCTATCTTGTCAGCGCAATCCTTCTTACCAGCAACAAGAAATACCACAAGAGGCGTATTCTGCTAGTTTTTCATGTCCTCCAAACTTTGGTGGCGCATATTACGATGAAATTTACAGTTGTAATCCAGGGTACACCTTTCAAGAGCAGGATTCGTATATAAATGATCAGAGCTATCACTGTGTGCCCTACAATGCGCAGCATTCCTACATATACAATTGTGAGCAGTACACGTCGCATCCACCGCATTATAATGCGCACTCAGAGCACGGACCGGACAGCAATAGCTGGCTTTCGCCAATTACTGTACCGTGCTCTCACGCATTTCACACAAATAACCGCACAGCCGTGGCAGGAAACAGTCAATATCACGATATTAGTGGATGCAATTACGGTGATCACTACATTGCTGGAGCGACATTGCATCAATCATCAAGTACACAAAGACGCGGAGCAAGCCTTCCAAGTGGAAATGTAGCGATCTAGCAATTGAAGTGGGACTGACATGGATTCCTCAGATATGTTTTCACATCGTGCTATTTGTGTTAATGTATAAGGATGTATGTGACAGTTTCAATAGTTGAGCAATCAACAGCTAGGAAGACACTCTTGTACCAAAATAAGAGTTGTCATCTCTTAAAGAAAATGAAGACAAGCGAGTCCGTTGGCATTTTCTTGCATTACTTTCGCGCTCCGGCAAGTGGGCCATTTCCGTCATTACACCGCTGCAATGACTCATATTACAGTTGCGTTTGTCTATCAGTTTGTTCAGGTCTCACATTACGATTGCATTTACTTGATAGGTATATACAGGTCTGCTTCTATTGTAACAGTCGAGAACATGTGAGGATTTAGAAAGCATTTCTCGATGGCCATGATGAGTTAACAATTTTAAGAGCTTCTGCTGAGGCTTGTCGTCCTTTAAAGCTTCGTCGTACTGAGGAGAAGGGCGTGCGTACCATGAAGCTGAAGTCTGAGCTCCGTCTTGCCCGTACCCGGATGTATATCGGCTGCGCGGTACTACGTGCCCCGATGGCTACCTACATGAGCAAAGTTCACGAATAATTATGATCATGAACACCCAAACAGTAATGCGGGGACGATTTAGTCCCCTATTGACCAGTCAAGGCTGTATTATGCATTGGAGAGGGGAAATGAAGACAGGAAGCTGGGTCAAGGAAGTCCTCGCCCCCCATGCTGCCTCCCCACCTTCAACTGGTCTCCGGCAAAGCTTTGTGGTGTTGGTTAAAGCGCGGAAGGCAGCCTCCCAACGCCAAGCCTCGGAAAGCATGCGAGAGCGGGCGAATAAATTGAATGCATGTGAGGGAGCGATTAGAGCGAAAGCCACCGGGAAACTCGAAAAGGGTATCAATATTTACAAGTACTTGAACCCAGGCGATGTTGGGTTGATTCTAGAACGGGCTGTGAAATGTGGAGATTGGACTATAGCAGAACACGTACTAAAGTATGGAGGAGAAAATTTTGAGTCCTCCTTGAATGAAACAGAGAGTGTCATTATGCGTTGCTGTCGCCAGGGGAAACCAGAGCTAGCCAGCGCGATCCTGCAAAAATTGTTGGCGCGTGTCGAATTGGCAGATCCACCACCCTCCATATCACTTTCTTTGCGCTCATCAGCGGCTTCTGCGTACATCGTTTTGTTGCGCGCATTGGGTAAATCCGGGCGTTGGGAGGCGTGCGTGGAGCTGCTGAAGCGTCCCTCTCTACCCCTCGCCCTCTCCTCGGAGGCTTGTTTTGAGGCCGGCATAAATGCGTGCGGTCGGCAACAACGTATAGACGAAGCGCTGGACTTACTCGAACATTTTCGCCGGCACTGCAGCCAGAAGGATATCTTGAAGAGCTCCTCCTGTTACAATGCTGCCGTCAAGGCCTGTGCTCGTGTCGGCGCTTTCGGTAGGGCCCGGGACGTCATTGAAGAAGCTCGTAGAGATGGCTTGCAGCCCTCATTGGCGGCATTCAATGCAATTTTAGAGACGTGCAGCCGTCTTGGGGCCTGGGATGAGGGCTCAAAAGTTCTGGTGGATATGCGACAAGCCGGCGTGGACCCCAACGAAGACAGCTATGCTTTCACGATTCGGGCGTGCGTCGCGCTTAAGCAATGGAAGCAAGCTTTGTTTTTGTTGCGATCAATGAAAGATCATGGGGTTTTCCCTAACGAGCACTGTTACATAGCCGCGATCGAGTCGTGCTGTCGGGGTGGGCAATGGCACAGCGTGGTCCAGCTCTTGGACGGGATGCGGGCGAAGGGCCTCGAGGCCCCGGAGAGCGTGTATCTGGTCAAGATCCTCCCAGCTCTTTCTCGCGCCGGTCGATGGCGCGAGTGCAGCGACACTTTGGACCGGATGAAGCGACAAGGGTTGCGAGTTCCGTTGGAGGCGCATCGCCTAGTATTGCTGGGCTACCGCCGTTCGGGGCAGTGGCAGAAGGCCCTCAAGGCGCTGCGCAATCTGAGGCACCTCGGGCTTGCCCCCTCCCTCTCTTGCTATGAGATTGTGCTTGATTGTTGTGCACAGGGACGTCGATGGATGGAAGCAAAGGAGCTCTTTGCTGAGATAGAAGTGGAAACTCCCACGGGGCCGTCCCTGACTTGCTTCCACTCCATGTTACAACTGTGCGGGAAGACAGGCAGATGGTCCGAAGCCTTGCAACTCTGGAGCATCGTGCACCGCGAGCATATGCTCGCTATCGACAGAAGAGGAAATCGCCCCTCTCAAAGTGCTGCTATGGATGTAGAGCTTGTGTCTGGCTGCCTGAAGGGGGCCTTGATGGCGTGTCAACAGGCCTCTCAATGGACCGAAGCGCTGTCTTTGCTGAAGCAGGAAGAGGAAAGGGACCAAACGAGTAGAGTTTTGAGGGACATGAATCCTGAAACGTTGACGCAATGCTATGCGCTGACGCTTGCTGCCTGTGCGAAGGCGGGCGAATGGGAATGTACGACAGAGCTGTTGCGTCGAACGCCTCGTCCGGATGAGGCGTGCTATGAGGCCGTGTTGGAGGCCTGCGCGCGAAGAGGAAGATGGGAGGAGTGTCTGGCACTGTTGCGAGAGCTTAGAAGTAAAGTAAGCAAGGAAAAAGAAATGGTATTGGATGCTGGCATGTATCAGTTGGCCATGTGGGGATGCATAAATGCAGGACGCGCGGATGAGGCGGTGGCCTTGATGGAGGAAATGGTCGCGTGCGAGGGGCTGGTGCCGACAGCTCGGACTTATGTGACGTACTTGAAAGCACTCCAGCGCCAGAAAAACTGGCAAAAGAGCGTCCGCGCCTTGATGCAAGGGCGCCGGGAGAACGTACTCGTGCTGAAAGAGAATAGTGACAGGACCGCGAGTCAGGAACTGCTTGCCTGGACGACTGTTTTGCAGACATGTGGCCGCGATGGGCAATGGCAAGAGGTGTTAGATATTTTGTGCGAGTCATCAAAGACGACTGTTGGCGGTTCAGTGGGCTCCGAGGTCATTTGTCGCCGCGGGGTGCCTCTAACAGTTGTGGAGGTCTTGCTTGGAACAGGTCGACTGCGGGAAGCCATACAATTTTTGGAAGGACTGGCGAAAGACGTTGGTGTGATCCCGCCTTTACCGGTGATAAATCGACTGCTAGGAGGACTGGGAGCCGCCGGAGAATGGAGTCTCTGTCTGGAACTGCTGCTTGGCGTTGACGGGGCAGAAGACGGCCCAGAGGGTAACAGCATGAAAGCGCGTTTCCATGTATCCCCAGACGTGGCATGCTTTACCGTTGTCATGGGCGCCGCAGCGGCGGGCCTAGCAAATGAAGGGAGTCATGGAGATTGTGCGGTACAGGAGCTCGCACAATTGTTGCCTGTAATGCGCTCGCGGTTCGGATTGGAGCCGGACTTGAGGGCTTACAACGTTGCAGCAAATTTGCACCGTCGCGCCGGGGACTTGGCCGAAGTGCTCAAGATATTGGAAGACATGAAGCAAAATAAATCATTATCTGGTATAGCACCTGACGTAGTGACTTATTCCACGGCGCTTGCAGCTTGCGGGGAGGCAGGCAAATGGGAAAAAGCTTTATCCCTACTGAAAGAGATGTCCAGTCTTGGCGTGCAGCCCAATGTTGTGGCGTATACAGCCGCGATTTCTGCCTGTGGAAAGGGCGGGCAAGCAGCGTTTGCATTAGGCTTATTTCAAGAGATGAAGATGAATAATGTGGCGCTCAATGTACAGTGCTGTAATACATTGCTCTGGGCCCTCTCTAAAGGGGGCGACTGGCGGCAGTGCCTGTTGTTGCTTGAAGAGATGGAAAGCGACGCATCCATGAGGATTAAACCTGATGCAGATACCTATCGAATAGTTATGCAAGCCTTGCGCGACCAGGAAGTGCAAAAAGATCTGACTAAGCGGCTCCACGAAGGGCTGGCACAATTAACGGCCGAAAGTGGAAAACCCGGAACTCAATAAGTGAAAAGAGGACTTTGACATCACTGTGGGACTGAGAGGGCTGATATGCATATCCTTGTGTAAAAGTAGAAATGTCAATGCTATGCAAATAATCGAGTGTGGTTCGAGCTTCCAGTCTTTGCGTCGGGGCCTCAGGGGAGAGGCCGCAGAAAGATACTCCCCCGCAAGCTACCCGGCGCCCGAAGAAGATCTTGTTCCTGCGGCCTCTGGATAAGCGTCGCACACAAGCACGGAGAGAGCCTTTCGTATTATAATGTACCAGTACTTCTTTGTGAACGATTGTGCTGTTGCTTTTCGTGCCTTGTGTAGGTCGGTGCGCACCTTGCCTGTCGCAGGACAGGAACACCTCCTGTCCCGATGCTTCTCGTTCGCGTGAAGGCAGAGGTCTGTGAGATGGCACAGACCTGCACCATGTTTCCAACCAAGCTCTGAAAGTATTCCTGCTTCAGCCAAAAACTTTGCCTCATTTATATCTCTGTTTTCTCTACTTCCTCCATAATGTAGTCGTCGGTGTCGGATTTTGACGCAGATAGCGCAAGGAGGAGTCCGCCTTTCGTTGCGGAGCCTGGTTTGTCACTTCGGATCAATTGTGCGAAAGCAGCAGACAAGTTCGGAGATGCTCTAGCGCAACATACCGAAAGCCTCAAAAGTACTAATTCTGCGTCATTTGTAATTGACGCGGAAGGTATCATACTTTCGCGACAAGTACCAATGATGGAGATGCCAACCAACCGCAGCGGCCCTGGGACGGACTCGGGAGAGAAGTGCCCAAATCCTCCCACGGTTGGTGCACTTGTCACGACTACGCTTTCGCCCAAAAGTGAATCTCCTAAGAGAGTTGCTGTTCCCACGTTAGGAGCGCCCGTGGCGGCTCCACCGGCGTCCGCCGTGGCCGTGGCAGCAAGGGGGCACGGATCCTCCCTGCAGAATGGGCTCCCAGCCCGCAACGGGGACGGTGGCAGCTCTTTGACGCCAACTTCTGGCCCAAGAGAATTTCTTCAAGTGGCGAGTAAACCGCCTGGCACGGAGATGCCTGCTCTAGACGCGTCAACAAGTGGATTGATACATAAGCCGGCGAGTAGCGACGCCGCCACGGCTCTCTCACAGCACCACGATGCGTTGATACAGCGAGAGCTGAATGCGATCATTGGTCAAAAGCGGGAACACAGGGACCGCAGTGAAGAGTCGACTGTGCTTCTTCCGTCCACCTCTCCGATCTCGGTTCCCGTACCAAGACACCAAGCGAGCGCACGACCCGGGCCAGGCCCCGCCTCGCATGCCCTCCCCGCCTCGCCCCCCGCACAAGCAGGCTCAAACGCCAGAGGAAGCGGGCAGACGGTCTCGAATAGGTCGCCTCCATCCGCGAACGCGCAAGCCCTTATGCCTCCTACGCGTCACTCGACAAGGGGGGCCACCGCCGCAGCGGCGGCTGGTATTAGCAAGTCCATCGAAGAGGCCTGCCATGCCGCCGCCCTAGAGGACGGCGTGTTGAGCTCGAAGGGGGGTGGCGCGCTGAATGCTGGATACGGGAATGCTAAGCAAGGTAGCGTGGTTAGCCCGGGCGAGACAAGCGCGCTGACAAGCGCTAATAAAGCTGGCAAGGTCAAGAACGGTCTGCGACGAGGGAAGTGGACGCCGGAGGAAGAGGCTTACGCGAACCGTTTGATTGTCGAGTTCAAATCTGGATTGTTACCGCTCACTGATGGAACAACGCTACGGACATTTCTGTCAAAACTTTTGAATTGCGATCCCATGCGTATCTCCAAGAAATTCGTGGGGCAAAATTGTATCGGGAAGCAAGTTTTTCGACGCCGGCAGCAGGCGGACTTGGATCGCCTATCCACGGACGAGATTGAGCGCAGTCGACAAGAGCTAGCGGAGCTGGAGCGCCGTTTTTTAGAGCGCGTTGCTCAAACAAACCGTTGCAAAAATTCGGTTGCAGGCTCCAAGCACGGTAAAGACAGCGCCGCGGGGCAAGTGGCTCCTGAGGTGCCACGTCGGCAACAGGAGTACCTTGGTCCTGACGGCCGGATTGTTGGGAACCCCGTCCTTCCGCCTTGGATGCTGCCACCAGCTGCACAGGCTGCGAACGAAGGGGAGCCTGCGTCAGCCTCAACAACGCCGCGCTCAAACTGTTCGAGCGGTATCAACAGCGGCTTCCGGGGAGCCGCAGGCCCCAATTCGACCAAGGGAACAAGCAGGCATCATCAGAATATTGCCCCTGAACACACAGGCGCTACTCTTCATCACATCAGCCACCTTCATCAGCCTTCGGGCCTTCGGCGCGGTCCTGGCGGATCTGACACTGGGATTTTGTCGGTAACTGCAGCGACAAACATGCCTCGAACGGACTCACAGGACAGTCTGTCGGTGCTAGGGCGCACCATCTCGGCAGATGCACTCGGCCACCTCACGGACTTCCCCCATACCACCAGTTTGGGTGACCTTGCCGGCCTGAATATGTTCACATCCAGCCCTTTTCCCTCCACCGACAATCTTTTGAGCCTGCACCAGCATCAGCACCAACAGACGGTAGCGGCGGCACCCAGAGGCCATACTACTCTCTCAGCGCATAACGCAACAAGCGTGGCGGCAGCGGCGGCAGCAGCAGCCGTCGCCCCTTCGAGCACGTCCATCAGTCGCAACACAGGGGACAGTGCCCCCCGCGGCCCCAACGTGAGTGGACACGGGTCTCAGCTGCCAATGAGCACCACCCGTGGCACTGTGGCAACGGTCACACAAAATCCTGTCATAACAGCAACCGCGAGGAATGCCGGTGGTGCAAACACTGCTGGATCGGTTTCATCAACGACGACGACCCAAAAGCGGATTCCGCGTGTGGATTCGGCCACAGGCTTGTCCTCCCTGCGTGTCATGAGCGGGCTGCCTCGAAACACCTCCGTTGAGGACTTTCTGTCGCTGGTGGATTACGGAGATATTCCTGCACCAGACAAGGACCTCCTCTCGAAGTGCGTTTTCCCTCAGAACAGCGCTGCACGCGCTGCCCAGACCGCTGCCTCACAGCAGGCTGCCGTGGCGTTCACAGGCATTGGGAAGCCTTCAGTCATCCTCGCTGGCGGTGTGAAGGTGGAAGGCGGCGCACCCACAGGACCAATACCCGGGGGCTCACACGATGTTGCGGGAGGAAAACGTGATCGAGGTGATACCTTACCTACGATATCGACAGGAAGTTCAGCGATGGGTGCCAGGTTGAAGCAACCGAAAATTGAAAGATAAAGGAAAAAGGTCTTGTGGACGGCGGGGGATCTGATGGCACGACTTTGTACATGCGCCGGAAGAGATAATGCGCTAGGAAATAAGGAGGGTGACTCGGCCATTCCATTTTTCGGTTTCACACCTCACTTCAAGAGGACTCTGCTGAGGAGACCTTCTAGTCAGCGGCGCAGTGATATTTTTTGTTTATCTTTATATGGTCGGGTTTGGCTTGTCATTTTAAAGAGGTCTGTATAAAATGATGGAAGCTGTCGAACGACGATTTACCACGTGCCAGGAGCAGGAAGGAATATAGGAATTGAAGGTACACAGTTATGCCATATTAAATGGTTTTGAAGGATCCAAAATTTCAAGGATATGGTAGCAAGGATTGGCATGGGAGGGCCAAACACGATGGGAAGAAGAGGGGGCTTTGAGATCTCATGACTTCCACGAGGGATGTATGGGGAGCGCGTGATGGGTCTATCAGTCAAGGAGTCACCCTGTGTGTATTAAGTCGTCTTGGGGCTTTTCCGGGCAAGAAAATGCTGCAAGACTTGTCAAACCATTCAATTTAAATATCTCTCAGCCGATGAGCGTCGTGGGTATCAAAAGGGACAAGGTGCCGGGATAGCGAATGGCTGGGTCAAAGAATTTAAGTGACAAGTCAAGAGGATGGGATTGTTTTGAACGCACTGAGTTTCTTGGCAGTTTACGTGGGAGCTCGCAGCCTGTTCTCTGACACCTGATATGCCGTCCCTCGCACATTCACTTTTTTTCGTGGGGGACGTGGGTGCCTACAGACGCAGAAAGCACGATGAGACAAAAGTAAAAAGCACGAGTTCAATTTCATTCGCGGGTGAAAATTGGAGGAAAAAAGCATGGGAAGGCGGGGGAGGGAAGAGCGACGACGAACTTCCCTTTTCAGTTGACTCTCACTATACAATCATATGTACATTCTCTCTAAGTGCTATGCAGGGGAAGGAGATGCTGAAAAGTACTGCTTGAGTCGTCGTTTCTTTAAGATAGGTGCATAAATATGCAGAGACGTCGGACTAGCCGTCAATATCGACGGAAGATAATATCCCTTACTTTGAATTTAACAACGTCATCATCAATTTGTGTCATTATTTTCCCTTCCTCGTCCAAGAACCTGTATGCCGAGCACACAGATGTCAACTCCACATCTCGTGTCGGTGTGCTCATGCGGGAAAAGCAGCAAAGCTACCCGGATGTGGCCCATTTTGATCGTCAAACGAGAGCCCATGTTACTTGTCTTCTGGACTCTTCTTGCTTGATTCGCATTTTGGACTTAGTTTTGTCCTTGTCGAATTCATAAAAGAGAGATTCACCCCCCTCCGAACGAAATCATTCAGGGAAAGCAAATGTCAGATTTCAGTCCTTCGTCTTCACCACGGAACTCAACAGCGGAACGCCAAGCTGATCACCAGACGCCGTCGCCGCCGCCTGATTTTGTGGTGGCCACTGAGAAAACAATTAAAAGATGGCTGGAGACCAGTGCGTTGCGGCCTAAACTCTTTCATGCACCTGAGCGGCAAAGCGATCGTCATTACTATCATGCGCACAATGAGATTTTGAGCCCTGAAAAAGCCCACCGACAGTATATGCTTGTCAAGGATGACTTCACGAAAAAAGATCCCGAGTGGCAAGATGACCTCCCACTTTTTGGTGCAGCTGCTCCATCATTCCATGACCATCCTTTGACTCGAGAGCAGGAGGCTGCAAGTCGGAGAGTTCTGTGTGTCTTGGGCTACACGTGTGAGATTGATTTCTGCCCCCTTCTGCTGGACCTGGTCCCGTTGTTGAT